AAAACTATAAAAAACAGAAATTCAGTTTATAAAAAGGGGAACTTTAGATACAGAGATAGATACAGCCAAGAAGGAAGATTGTAGATATATACGTAAATATGTCAATAATTAAGTGTAAATGAACCAAAAACTAATCAAAAAAGCAATGACCAGCTATGTGTTACTTATATAAGGTACACTTAATTTTTTCTCATTTTTAGTTTTTTTCCATATTCTTTTTCATTACAGTTTACTACAAGCCATTAAATATAGTTCCCTGTGTTATACAATAGAACCTTGTTGTCTATCTATTCTGTACATAGTAGTTTCTATCAGCCAATCCCATACTCCCAGTTTATCCCACCCTCACCCCCACCTACCGGGTAACTTTAAGTTTGTTTTCTATGTCTGCAAGTCTCTTTCTGTTTTGTAAGTTCATTTGTATCATTTTTTAAAGATTCCACATATAAGTGCTATCATGTATTTGTCTTTCTCTGATGACTGACTTCACTTACTATGATAATCTCTGTGTCCATCTATGTTGCTGTGAATGACATTATTTCATTCCTTTTTATGGCTGAGTAGTGTTCCATTCTGTATATATACACCACGTTTTCTTTATCCATTCATCTGTCGATGGACATTTAGTTTGTTTCTGTGTCTTGGCTATTGTAAATAGTGCTGCTGTGAACATTGCGGTGCTTGCATCTTTCTGAATTGGAGTTTTTCTCCTGATATATGCCAGGGAGTAGGATTGCTGGATCATATTGTAACTCTATTTTTAGTTTTTTAAGGAACCTCCATACTATTCTCCACAGTGGCTGCACCGATCTACATCCCCACCCACAGGGCAGGAGGGTTCCTTTTTCTCCACACCCTCTCCAGCATTTATTATTTGTAAACTTTTTGATAATGGCCCTTCTGACCGGTGTGAAGTGATACCTCATTGTAGTTTTGATTTGCATTTCTCAAATAATTAATGATGTTGAGCATGTTTTCATGTGCCTTTTGGTCACCTGTATGTCTTCTTTGGAGAAATGTCTATTTAGATCTTCTGCCCATTTTTTGTTTGGGTTGTTTGGTTTTTTGATATTGAGCTGTGTGAGCTACTTGTATATTTTGGAAATTAATCCCTTGTCAGTTGCATTATTTGCAAATATTTTCTCCCATTCTGTAGGTTGTCTTTTTGTTTTGTGTATAATTTCCTTTGCTGCACAAAAGCTTTTGAGTTTAATTAGGTCCCATTTGTTTATTTTTGTTTCTATTTCCATTACTCTAGGAGCAGAAAATATTGCTGCAATTTATGTCAGTGTTCTGTCTATGCTTTCCTCTAGGAGTTTTATAGTATCCAGTTGTACATTTAGGTCTTTAATCCATTTTGTGTTTATTTTTGTCTATGATGTTAGAGAATGTTATGATTTCATTCTTTTACATGTAGCTGCCCAGTTTTCCCAACACACTTATTGAAGAGACTGTCTTTTCTCCATTATATATTCTTGACTCCCTTGTTGTAGATTAATTGACCATAAGCACGTGGGTTTATTTCTGAACTTTCTGTCCTGTTCTGTTGAGCTATGTGTCTGTTTTTGTGCCAGTACCATACTGTTTTGATTACTGTAGCTTTGTAGTATAGGTGAGATGCACTTTAAATACAAAGACACCAATACGTAGAGAATAAAAGACTAGAAATGTACCATGCAAGCAGTATGCATAAGAAATTTAAAGTGGATATATTAATACCAGAAAAAAAATCAGTACAAGGAGGATTGCTGGAGACTAAGAGGAATCCTTCAAATGATAACTGGGCTAATACATTAAGGAGGTATAACAATTATAAGTGTATATACATCTAATAAAATGAATTTCAAAATACATGAAGCAAAAACTAACTGAATGAAAGGGAGAAACAGTCAAAGCCACAGTCGTGGTTGGACACTTTAATACACTTCTCTCAGTAATTGATAGCACAACTGGATCCCCTCAAAAGTGAAGAAATCAAAGATCCGAAAGCCACCATCAGCAATCATGACCTAACTGGCATTTATATCCAGCAACTGCAGAATGCACTTTTTTCCCAAGTGTACAAGGAACATTCAGCAAGTAGGCCATGTGGTAGGACATAAAATAAGTCTCAGTATATTTCAGAAGGTTGAAATCTTACAAGGTTTGTTTTCTGAAAGTAAGCTTGAACTATATGATAATAAAATGACTGTATACTAAAAATTATGGGATGAAGCTAAAGCAGTATTTACAGGGAAATTTTTAGTTTTGAAATGCTAATGTTGCAAAAGAAAGATTTCAAAAATGCAGTACCTAAGCTTTCACATTAAGAAACTAGAAAAAGAAGGGTAAATTAAATCCATAGTAAGTAGAAGGAAGGAAATAATACTGATAACAATAGAAATAAATGACATAGAAGACAGATTTTAAAACCTGGTCCTTTGGAAAGAGCAATAAAATTGATAAACTTCTAGCTAGACTGATCAGGGAAAAAATGCAAAGGATACAAGTTACCAACATTAGCGATAAAAAGAGAGAATCAAGAATAAATCTATACAGGGTATAGAATTTGAAAGATAATAAGGGAATGTTACAAACAACTTTTGTTAATAAATCTCATAATTTAGATGAGACAAATTCCACAAGTCACAAAACTAACACAAGAAGAAATAGAAGAAAATATTAATAGCCCTATGTCTGTTAAATTTTAAATTTGTAATTTAAAATTTTCCTACAAAGCAAATTTCAGGCCCAGATAGCTTCACTGGTGATTTCTGTAAACACTAAAGAAGGATACAGTGCCAATCCAACACAACCTAAACAGAGGGGGTGGGAATACTTCCCAAGTCATTTAATGAGGCCAGTTTTATTCCAATAGCAAAACCAGTAAAAGAAATTATAAGAATAGAAAACCATAAAATAATATTCTTCATGAATATGTAAAATGTAAAAATTCTTAACAAAGTATTGATATATTAAACCGAACAATATAGAAAAAGAGTAACACATCATAACCAAGTGGAGTTTTCCGAAGGATAAATTTACTATTAGAAAAGCAATGAATATAACTTTTTGATGTTAATACGACAAAAAATAAAATCTTAACATATGCAGAAAAAAATCACTTGACAAAAAATTTAATGATTCTCAATGAAAACTCAGAAAAGGAAAAAAAATCTGTTAGAAAAGTGAACATTTGTTTTGAATGAGAAAAGAAATCACATTAAATTACAAACTATTAAAAGCTGAAAAAAATCTGATATGGGACATCTATGAAAACTCCACAACTGACATTATACTTAAGATGAAAGTCTCATGTGTCTGCTTTTAGCACATCTGTTGAAAATTATAGTGGATGCTTTAGCCATTGCAATAGACAAAAGAAAGAAATAAAAGAAATGGAGATTGAAAAGGGAGAAGTAAAACTTCTTTATTTGCAGACAAATGATTTTTTATATGGAAAATACTAAGGAATCTCCAAAAAGAGTTTACTTGAACTAGTAAATGAATTTAACAAAGTCGATGATAGAAGGATAATATACATAAACCAATAGTATCTCTGTACACCAGCAATGAATAATTAGAAAATGTCAAAAATTATTTCCATTTGCAATATCGTTATAAAAACATTAAATTCTTTGGGATAAAGAAAGAGGTGTGTACAGATGCAGTGGGGATAGAAGGGAGGAAACAAATAATTGAATCTGAGATGAGAAGTAATCTGGAGGAATTTGGCACATAGTCATGTCTGGGCTAAGTCCTGAAAGACAAACTTCCAAACAAAGAAATAATAGTTGTTCCAGGCAAAAGGAAAAAACATAAACAAACGTAAACAAACATAAAAATACTTGAGAATGCATGACACATTTGGGGATCTGAAGTAGTTCTGTGTGATGTGATCACATAAGGAGGAGCTAAATTATGAAGGATTTTATGAGTCTTACTCAGGCACTTGTCCTTTATCCTGTAGCTCATATAGTGGGTTTTAAGTGGGAGAGACATGGTAACGTTGCATTTTAGGAGTTGGTG